ATGTAGATACTGTTGCTTTCAAGTTTACTATATGTAGATACTGTTGCTAATGTAATCTACTTATTTAGAAAAATAAAGACAAGACACTGAAATATATTGGTGATTGTAGAAGATGCTTGGCTATTGACGCTTCTCTCCATCCTCGTGATTTTCTGTATGAATTCTTGGAAATTTTCATGGCGACTGTCTTGACCTTGGTATATTCATGAAGACCACGTTCTCCCAGTTCTTGTCCATTTCCATACATCTTGAATTTTCCATAGAGCAGTTCACACTCCCCGTCCCAGCAGACAGTGTCACAGCTTTATCAAGGTCCTTGGTAAAGACTCCAGTGGCTAAGCCATAGAAAGTGTTGCTTGATCTCTCAACCACTTCATTGAAAAAATTAAACCGGACTGGTACAAAGATTTCCTCCTTGGCAATGAACACTCCTCTGTCACACTGGAGAAAACTGTGGGCTGGATAAAGTAGCCTTTATTCCCCCAGGAATTCAAATTTGGCCCCTTCTTTCTCCCCAGTTTCAATGAGATAAATTATTTTATCATATTGTTCGTTGTCATTTTGAGAACCTTGGCTTACTTGTAAGGTCAGAGGATTGCCAACAAGGTAGTTCTTAGCGCTTTCAACACTCTGGTGAACCAACTCCTTGTAAATGGATTTTTCCACAAGAAGCCTGGATGCAGCTACACAATGTTGACCTTGGTGCAAATTCAACTGCATTGTCCAAGTCAGCATCTGCAAACACAACACAGGGGCTCTTCCCACTCAGCTCCAGGGTCACTCTCTTCAGATTGCTCATCTCAGCAGCTTCTTTAATTAATTTTCCATCCTCTTTTGATCCTGTGAACATCACTTTGTTGACATCCATGTGAGAAGAGACGGCTGCTCCTGTGTTGAGCCCATTGTTGTTGTTGATTGCCTTCGAGTCAAGCATGTTTCATAGAACAAAAAACAAACAAACAAACAAACAAAAGCCTTATGAACAAAAGGCTTGAAGTCCCTCTACAACTATTGACATTTATCAAAGTTCATAGGGTTTCTGGCAGCATGTTATTTAGGAAGTAGATGTCACTCCTGCTTCCAAGATGAGCCCATAATCAGGCATAATATTCATTACTCCTGGAGGACACCCTGCGTCTTATCAGAGATGCCACATAAAGAGCCGATAGAAGCCTCTGCTCTGTGGGTTTGACAACCAGGTGTTGCCACAAGAAAGGGAAGGTCCTAACTTCCAACTAAGGACGACCAGCGGGAAATTCGAAGGATTGATCTGGGCATGCACACCAACTGGCTCATGGTTTGTATAACCAAAAAAGTCTCCATCCACAGGTATTGTCTGGCCATGAATCTTGTCAGCCCAGCCTGTGCAGTAGTGTAAAGTTTTGATGCTGTGCTCTAAGTCCATCAGATATGCACTAGGAATTACTTTTCCACAATTCACTGCCTCCATTCACTGCCAATAGCAGGTGATTCCTGTCAAGTAAATCCGCCAACTTACATAGTAGTCGTCCCTTTTCTGAAGCATCCATAGTTCACCATGGAGAGCCAATCTGAAAAGCTTCTCTTGCAGCCTTCACTGCTTTATCAACATCTGCCTTATCTCTTTCTTCCACCTCAAAGATTTTTTCCTCAGTTGCTGGATTACAGACAGGAAATTTTCTGCCACTCACTGAGTTATGCCACTCATTTTTGTGAAAATCTTAGTGTGTTCAATCTTGAAATCAGCGAGTGGGGTAGGCAGGTCCGGTATGCTGAGGAAGACACCTCTGGTTGCAGTCCTGAAGGGCAGGTGAGGGATTTGGTTTCACTCGTTCAATCTTTTTCTCATCTGTCATGATGTTGTTATGTTGTTAGGTGCTTTACAGTCACGTATGACTCATAGCGACCCTATGAACAGTGGATCTTAACCCTGTCCTATCCTGTGCCATCCTTACAATTCCTGACACACTAGAGCCCATTGCAGCAGTCGCCATGTCAATCCAACTGGTTGAGGGTTTTCCTCTCCTCCACTTACCTTCTACTCTTCTAAGCACCATGTCCCTCTCCAAGGAACAGAGCCTCCTAGCTACATGCCTGAAGTATGTGAGGCAAGGCCTCAGCAGCCTTGCCTCCAAAGAGCACTGTGGCTGCACTTTCTCTAAGACATATTTGTTTGTTCTTTTGGCAATCCATGAGATGTTCTGTGCTCTTCTACAACACTACAGCTCAAAGGCGTCAGCTCTTCTTCTGTCATCCTTATTCATTGTCCAGCTCTAAGATGTGTAGCAAGTGAGCTGAAAGACCATGGCCTGAATTAGATGCACTTTAGTCCTCAGACTGACATCATTACTCCTCAATAATTTGGAGAGGTCCCTAAACTGCAGACTTTCCCAGTGCAATACAGCTCCTTATTTCACAACTGCTGGCACCAGACATATTAATTGTGGGTCCAAGTAAGATGAAGTTGTTGACAGTTTCAATCTTTTCTCCATCTAACATGATACTGCCTATTGGTCCAGTGGTAAGAATATTTGTTTTCTCAACTTTAGATGCTATCCATATTGAAGGCTACATTCCTTGATCTTTTGCAACAGGTGCTTTAAGTCCTCCTCACTTTCAGCAAGTAAGGTTGTGTAAGGAATCTCCCTCTGACCCTGATGTCACATTCCTCTTCATACACAGAGTCCAGCTTCTAGAATGATTTGCTCAGCATACAGATTGAATAGGTATGGAGAGATATTACAACCCTGAAGTACTCCCTTCTTAATTTTAAACAATGCAGTGTTTCTCTGCTCTGTTTGCACAATAGCCTCCTGGTGGAAGTATAGGTTTCACACAATGGGCTGCATAGCAATCAGTTTGACTACATCCATGGAAGAAATTGTTGGAGAAGTTCAATATCAGCAGTCAAAACTAGGCCAGGGGTAGACTATGGGTGAGACCACCGGTTACTTATATGCAAGTTCAAATTGAGGCTGAAGAAAAGGAAAATAAGTTAACAAGAACCAAGATATGATCTTGAATTTATTCCATCTGAATTTTATGATCATCTTAGGAACAGGTTGGAGGCATTGAATATCAATGGTTTATCTCCTACAGGATATCAAAAGACATGTTGCATTGGGAAAGTTTGCGGTCAGGGACCTCTCCAAAGTGCTAAAGAGCAAGATTATCAGTCTAAAAACCAAAGTGCACATGATCTAAGTCATGGTCTTTTCAGTTATTTACTAGGCATTTGAGAGTTGGGCAGTGAATAAAGAGAGAGAGGGGGGCGGGAAAAAAGAAGAAACTGTTCACCTTTCTCCTGCAAAGTGACTGGTGGACTGAAATTATAGAACTTTCAGCTAGTTATCTGACACACAGTGCACTACACCACTAAAACTGCTATTTAATATATGAAAGGGAAAGAAAAAGGTCCCATTTTCTCCCTCAGAACAGCTAGTGGATTTGAATTGCTGAATTATGCCAGCAGGACTCCACACAGAGTGCTTGCTGTTGTTATGTGCTGCTGGGTCAGAATCAACTCAAAGCTGAACCTCCAGGAGGTTTTCAGGGCTGTAAATTGCATGAGCACACACTGTCTAGATTTCTCTCAGGGAGTAGCTGGTGGATTTGAACAATGTGCCTTCCACTTGGCAGTATAACTTCTTATCACCAGCTCACCAGAGTTCCCTAGAGAGGGCCTAGAACATAGTGAATTCTAAGTAATGCTATGAAGAAACAGTAAGTTTGATTTTAGCTACACAAAATACAGACTAGATTCACTGCAATTTGTTTTAAAGAATATTTCAAGAAAATCATATATAAAATTCAGCTCTCCTGTAACTTTACCTGGAGTACAGGAGTGCAGTTGAATAGCAGAAATTAAGCTTCCAAAGGCCAAATGATGTCACAAAATACATAATGGCAATAAAGCTCCCAAACTTATTAATAAAAGAGGCTCTTGTAGTTATTTTTTGAACTGTTTGCCATCCTCAAAAGTTTTTTCCATAGTCTGAGCCTCTGTCTGCTTAGATTGCTCATTATAAGATGAAGAAGACACAGTACATGGATGTAGTAGGCATATCCTACTAGACAAGAGGAGCAAAGACAAAAAATGATCAAAGTACCACACGACACATGCAAGACCTACGAGCCGTACAATCTCAACAGTGGGCCGAGGAATGTTGCACAACAAAAGAGGTTCTGAAATTACCACCATTCAGATAAATTCTGTACTTCCTTGTTTTCTTAAAATGATATAATGTGTGACAGTATTTTGTGAAACAAAGTTCAAAATACAAATACATGTATTTTTTTCTTACCAGGTCTACATCTTTTTTTAAATATTTTTAAATTTTATTTTACTATTTTTTTTGTGCGTGTACCATCAAATTGTATCTGACTGGCACAAGAGGAGATTGCCCCTCCTTCTCCAGCACAGCATCTGGTGACTTTGAACCGCTTTACATCTTTCTTGTTGATTGTTGTATTTCACTTAACTCATGGTCTGGCACATCACAAGTACTCCATAAATATTTGTTAATATATGAATAGAATACATTTAAACTTATTTCAATAATTTATGGTCATTATAATAAAAAACAACTGCTGAATTGTGCTACAATTCAGTAAAACTGTAAGAGGCTGAAGTGGAACAACTGAGGTTTGACTGGCAGGTAATTTTTTTCCCTGCAGGCAGAATTCCTAGTAAAAACAACAACCATTTAGTTGGGTCTTTTCCCAACCCAAACATAATCCTTGGTACCTGCATACCAGGAATAGAAAATGAGCACATATCCTACATTCTCTATTGCACGTGCTTATAGCAGACAATGACAATCGTAATATTCTCAGCTGAGCATTGATGTTATAACTGCGCCAACTGATGGGCTTAATTCCAGTTTTAGCTGCTATTTCATAACACTTCAAGCTATGTTATTGTAGTCAACAAATATATGTAGGGATAATATAAAAAATTATACTTCTATCCATAGCTGTAGAAACCAGACCCACGAGGGGTTCATGTGTATTGCACCTACCTGGGAGCTATTGTCACCTGAACTCTCCCCGGAGTTCTGAGACTGGAGGAGGCTCTCATTAATTCGGCTCAGTTCTTCTCTAAGCCTCACAATCTCCTCAGGCTTTATGACAAGCTGGTGCTCTTCATCTTTCATATTGGGATTCTCTGGTGAGCATTCCTCCTTCTGCCTTTCTCTTGGAATACTGCCCTCCTCTACTGACTCCTTCGGAATTGCCTTCTGCTTATTTTCTCCTACTTCGGGACTTGGCATAAATAGAACAATAACTATCAAAATGTTCATCATAGTCAAAGTAGAAAGAAAATAGCTACACAAGTCAGGAATGTACAAGAAGTTGGATTTTCAATTTAAATTCTACTGCAGAGTAGAATGTTGTTGCTGTGTATCATCAATTAGGAACCAACCCATACTTGATCTGCCGGTGAGTTTTCAGAGGCAATAAACTGTTTAGGAGAAGACTTCCCATCTTTCTCCTGTGGAGCAGCTGGTGATTTCCAACTGTGTGTCTTTGTGTTGGTAACACATAAAAACTTATGAGTCACCAGTGTTAAAAAGAGCAGGAAAGGGAAAACTTTAGCATGGGAAGGCACTGAATTTACTTTAATGGTGATAGAATAATGGGAGAGGGGGAAGGCATAAGGGTTGTAGGATAGAGAGTGTAATCAATGCCACCAAACTGTGCATGCATAGGTCGTGGTGTTATTGTCATATGCTCCAGTGCCTTAGTAAGAGACTTAGATTTTCTAGTCCGTGCAGTGAGAAACCACGGAGAGGTCTTGAGAGAGAAAAGAATATTCAATGCGCATTTTAAAAATACTACTCTGGCTGCTCCATAGAGAATGAATTGTTTTATTTGCCTTTTTTGGCAGTACTTTATACTATTGGCAATTCCTCCCCTCACCCTTGTAACATTCTTTAAACTGGTTCTATTAAACACACTTTCTTGATCTTTTGTCTACTTCTCTACCTACTGTTTCTCAGTACCTTTGTCATTTCACTAAGATTATGCCTTCAGGTGATTTTATCAAGCAAAATAAGGACTATTTGATGCATTCACATGATGTTTGCTATTTTCTGCTTGTTGGTGTTTCCCATATTTATCTTCAGCCCAAGTTTCTTTCCTGAGCTCCAAACCTATACATCCAACTGTTGAACATCTCCATTTGGCTATTCAAAGACACTTCCAAGTCACTGTGTCAAAAACGGAACTCATCTTTCTCTTTCCTCAAAACAGTGCTCCCTAACTCAATGAGTGGGGCAATCAAACTGGAAACTTAAGTTATCCCAAACCTCTCCTCATACCTAAGCCCCTGCCAATCGTACTTTCTTCCTCATTTTTATAGTCTTCAACTCCCTGTTGATCTTACTTCTTTCTAAATGTCATCTATTTCTCTATACCTCTACAAACACAATCATCTCTCACCTAGGTTATTTTAACATCTTCTTAATTGCCTATACCAACAATTCCATTTTACAAAGAAGGCAGAGGGTCCTTGGTAAAACAAAACAAAACAAAACAAAACAAAACAAAACCCTATTTTTGTCTCTCCCATGCTACAAAAACCTACAGTGATGCCCCATTGTACAAACTCTGTAACACAGACACATTATAATTATACAATCTGGACCTAAAATAAGTGGAGGCTGTGAAGTGGACATTGACGATAAGCAAGAAGGAAAATATCAAGAGAAAAGAAAACATGTAATAGTTACACAGACGTCTCACAGCCTCGGTCATGGGAAGAAGTTTGAATCAAGTCATCGAACTGTTGTTAGGTGCTGTCGAGTCTACTGTGAGCTATAGCGATTCTATAAACAGCAGATCTGTGCTCTGTCCTATCTTGTGTCATCGTCATCATCTATACTTGAGTTCACTGTTACAATGACTGTGTCAATCCAATTTGTTGAGGGTCTTCCTCTCTTTTACTGACCCTCCACCTTTCCAAGCATATTATCTTTTTCTAACGACAATATGTCCTAAGTATTTAAGACAAAGTAGGTTTTACCATCCTTGCCTCTAAGAATCATCCTAGCTGCACTTTTTCCAAGACATATTTATTCTTTTGTTCTTTTGACAGTCCATGGGATGTTTAATACTCTTCTCCAATACCACAACTCAAAAGCCATCAATTCTTCTGCCATCATTGCCCAAATTTCAGATGCATAGGAAGTAATTGAAAACACAATGGTTTGGATCATATGCACATTAGTCTTAAAACTGACTTTATTGCTCCTTAGCACTTTGTAGAGGTCCTTGATAGAAAATTTTCCTAATGTGATACTTTTGATTTCTTTTTAAAAATTTGGATGTTCCCTCGCATTAACATTGTGTTTCATACAATAATTTCAATATATTGTGTCTTATAGTCTGCTGTCAGGGACCTTTCCAAAATACTGAAGAGAAAGGACATCAGTCTGGAGACTAAGATGTGCCTAATCCAGGCCATGGTCTTTGCAATTGCTTACTAAGTAAGCATCAGAGAGATGGACTATACAAATGATAGAAAGAGAATTGATGCCATTGAGCTGTGATGCTGGAGAAGAGTGTTGAATATACCATGGACTGCCAGGAGAACAAACAAGTCCTAGAGAGGGTGAAACCAGGTTGCACCTTGGATGCAAGGATTCTGAAGCTTCATCTGACATATAAAAATGGATCACCATTTATTTATGCTCATTATTAACCTATCTTTTCAGATCCCCACTGGATCTTTCCTAATTCCTTCATCTCCTCCCTGCACCTACCAAACTCTGTAACCCTGTGATTTCCAGCCTGCTTCTACCCTCCTCAGGCCCCCTCCTCCCTCATGTTCCCTTTTTGGACATTTATGCACATCTTACTAGTTATTCTGTTTTTACAGTGGTGGCCTTATGCAGTATTTGTCCTTACAAGCTTGAGTTAGTTCACTCAGTATAATGTTCTCTAGACTCTCCCATTATTTTTCAAAATCATTGTTCCTGAGTGCTGCACAGTATTCCATCATGTAACTGTATCATAATTGTTCAGTCCATTTGTTTATTGGACATTACCATGTTCTTGTAATGTTGACTAATGTTGCTATGAACACTGGTGTACAAATTTCTGTTTGAGTCATAGTTCCATTTTCCTCAGGTTATTATGGCTGTGTAGAAGATTTTAAGTAAAAGTAGTACTATGCCTCCAACTTAATTTTTGTTTTTCAGAAGTGCTTTGCTTATTCAGGTTCTCTTTCCCTTCCCAATAAACTTGCCTACTGCCTTTTCTATCTCTTTGAAAAAGTAATTTGGTACCTATAGTGTGATTGTGTTTAGCTGGTAGACTGCTTTTGGTTGTTGTTGTTGATTGCCATCGAGTCAATCACAACTTCTAGCAACCTCATGAACAAAAAGCCTGAAGCCCCTCTACAACTTTTGACATTTATCAAAATTAATAGAATTTCCAGAGGCATGTTATTTAGGAAGTGGATGCCACTTCTGCTTCCAAATCTGTTATAGTATGTTATTCTTGTTATGTGCCATTGAGTTGCCTGTGATGTACAGCAGCTCTGAACCCTTCCCTGTCCTGAGCCAGTCTCACTAACTCTGACACACTAACCCACATTGCCCCAGTTACTGTATCACTCCATCTCATCCGGGAACTTCCTCTCCTGCACTCTCCATCCATCCTTCCAAGCATGATGTCCTTTTCCAAGGACTGATCTCTCCTGGCCATGTACCCAAAGTAAGTGAAGCAGAGCATTGCCATTTTCACTATATTGAGTCTTCCTATCCATGAATAGGGAACATTCCCCACCCATTTACTCAGATATCTTCCCCTTCCCCTTCACAGTAGTGTTTTGTAGTTTTAAAAATAAAGGTCTTTTTTGTCTCTAGTTTACTCCTATGTATCTCAATTTGCGGATGGCTATTGTAAATGGTATTTCTTGCTTAGTTTCCTTCTCTATGTTTTCTTTTCTACTATAGAGAAATTAAACTTATTTTTGTATATTGATCTTATATTCTGCCACTTTACTGAATTGGTCTATTAGGTCTAACAGCTTTTTTTAATTTAGTCTTTGGGGTTTTGTGTGTACACTATCACATAATTTGTATAAAGCATCAGTTTTACCACCTCTTTGCCAATCTGGATGCTTACTATTTTCTTCTCTTGTCATATTGCCCTATCAAGTACTTCAGATACAGTATTGAATAGGCATGGTGAATGTGGGTTTCCTTGCCTGGGGTTCACAAGGGTCTCTAAACAAGCCTTTAGTCTTTCTCCATTGAGAATGATGTTGCTCTTAGTTTCGCATATATACTTTTCACTATGCTGAGTAAATTCCCTTTTATTTCTATTTTTGTTGAGTGTTTTAATCAGAAAGAGGTGTTGAATTTTGGCAAAGGCCTTCCTGTATAAATTGATAGGATCCTTTGGTCCTTGTTTTTTGCTTTGTTAATGTGATGAATTACAATGATTGTTTTCCTTATGTTGACTTATCCTTGCATACTCGTAATGAGTCCCACTTGGTCATGATGAATTACCTTTTTTTGTGTGTATTGCATTCAATTGGCCAGGATTTTGTTAAGGAGTTTTGTATCTATATTCATGAGAGATATTTGTCTGTAGTTTTCTTTTTTGGTAATGTCTTTGTGTGGTTTTGATATTAGTGTTATGCTTGCTTCATAGAACTGCTGTAGTAGTGTTCCTTCTTTTCCTTATTTTTAAAAAAAGAAGTTGAGTAAAATGCATGATAGTATGTCTCTGAATGTTTGGTAGAATTAAACTGTGAAGCTATCTATCTGGGCCAGTACTTTTTTTTTTTTAAGTATGTTTATGACCTGCTTAATTTTTTCTTTTGTGATGGGTCTGTTGAAGCATTTTGACCCTGACAATCTGGGAATGGTGTGAGTTTCTAGGAATTTGTCCATTTCCTCTTCATTTTCAAATTTATGAGGGTGTAGTTTTTTCATAATATCCCTTGTCAACTGGTTCTGTTGTGATGTCACCTCTTTCATTTCTTTTTTTGAGTTATTTGTGTCTTGTCTTTCTTTTGTTAAGTTTACCAAGGGTTTTTTTTTCTTTATTGACATTTCCTAAGAACCAGTTCATGGTCTTGTTGATGGCTTTGATTGTTTTTCTGTTTTCTATCTCATTGATTTCAGCTCGTGTCTTTGTAATTAATTTCCTGTCTTCTAGATGCTGTGGGGAGAGATTGTTGTTCTTTTTCTATTTGATGTAGGTGTTGAGTTAGATCATCAATTTTGCTTCTTTCTTCCTTTTATATG